GCCAGCACTGCTGTCTTGGCCACCAACTCTCTCAGTAATCCTCACCCTGCCCTTACTCAGCCACCCCTGGATGCGCTCTCTCTCTCCAGGGTCGGGGCTCTCTGGGGAGAGACTGGATTGTGTTTGGGAGGCCCCGCCCGACCCCTGCACTGTTGCCAGCTGCCCTTTGGGCTGTTGGAGTCACAGCAAAGCTGCTCCTCCTCTTCCTGGTTCAGCTTCAGCCGGGTCCGTTGTCCGTTGTCCGTTCCCTCCAGCATCTGCTTCAAAGCCAAACAATTATGTTCTTGCTCCTGGCGATCAGTGTCAGGGATTACATTTCCGTAACCAGTCCCCAAGCGAGCTATCAGAGGGTTCATCACGCTGCAGTTGAACAGCCCCGGGGCTGTAGAACACCCATCACAAAGGCAGCTGTCTCCAGTGGAATTCATTCCATTGCCTTGCCTTCATTTTTTTTCCCTCCTCATGTAGGCCTGACCTTAAAAGAACTATTTGTGGAGCTGAGATGACTCAGGTTTTTTTTTAGTTTTTTGAGACAGGGTTTCTCTGTGGCTTTGGAGGCTGTCCTGGAACTAGCTCTTGCAGACCAGGCTGGTCTCAAACTCACAGAGATCCGCCTGCCTCTACCTCCCGAGTGCTGGGATTAAAGGCGTATGCCACCAACGCCCGGCCTGATGACTCCGTTTTTTAAGCCAACTTTCTGTGCAAGCAAGAGGGCCCACATTCAGATCACCAGAAACTCTCCTGGTTTGGCAGAGTGGCCTGCCTGTAACACCAGCCTCAGAAGGCACAGACAGGGGAATCTCTCTCACCCCCAGCAAGCTGCCCAGGAAAATGAACCATAATCTAGGAGGATTCTGGCCTTGACTAAGAGATCCTTAAGAAATGAAGGTGAAGGGATTAACGGTAGAGTGCTGGCCTAGCTAGCTCAAGGCCCTGGGTTGGTCCTCGGCTAAGGGTGTGGAGGAGAGGTTGGGGTGGAAAAGTGGGGTGATGGGGGAATATTTCAGACCTCCACTTTGGACATGGTGGCTCACGCCTTTAATCTCTGAGTTCCAGGCCAGCCTGGTCTACAGAGCAAGTTCCAGAACAGGCTCCAAAGCCACAGAGAAACCCTGTCTCAAACCCTGCCTCCCACCAAAAGGAATGCCACCAGGTGGGCAGGGGTGGCTCACACACCTTTGTTCCCAGTGTTTGGAAGATAGAGGCAGGAGGATCTCTGTGAGTTCCAGGACAGCCAATGCTACACAGAGAAAGTCTAATAATAATAATAATAATAATAATAATAATTTCAAATGTTGATAGGCACAATACACATAACCTCTTTGTAACACTCCGTGTTTTTCAACACTGTGGAATCCTGTGACCAACAGATTTGAGATTCACTCATTTACATTTACATTTATCATTTTAAACGTTTGAACTAGCGCATTGATCCAGTGTATCATAATTCCTGTAACCTGCAAACAAGGCTGCGAATTACATTTGTGTAGACCTTCATTTTCTTAGGCTAGTTTCCAGGGCTGCTCTGTTGAATGTGTGGGGTGTATTCCCACCTGTAACTGTGTACACATATGCGCTGATGGACGAGGTGCTCTTCTATTTTTAAAATAGTGTGTCCATGTAGATGCATGTGCATCTCTGTGTGTGTGTGTGTGCACTCGAGCAGTGTGTGCCCTTGTGTATACGAGTGCGCGCGTGTGCTTGCGCGTGTATCTGTGTCTGCGCGCGCGCGCGTGTGTCTGTGTGTGTGCGCGCGCGCGTGTGTCTGTGCTCCTGCCGTGGCACCCGCGTGGAGACCAGAGCATGACTTGCAGGGATCGGTTCTCTACTTCCACCTTGCGGATCTCGAGGCTCGAACTCGTGTCGTAAGGCTCGGCGCCGGCTGACCCACCTTGCATGGCGTCCCCGCTTTCTAGACAGGGCACCAGCAGCTCCTCCTGTCTCCAGCCGCTGAGCCCGGCTTGTACACGGACCCTGCGGATTTGAACCAGGTCCTCATGCTTGCGTGGCAGACACTTTATCAACCTAGCCGGCTCGTCAATCCGCGACAAAGAAAAAACAAAGCCTACACTTTACAAAAATGAATTGTCAACAATACGAGCCACTTGTCAGCTAATAACCTATTTCTATGCCCGTTTGCTCGCCGCCGCTGGAGTGCAAGGCATCCGAGACCCTCCCAGCTAAGGGTTTGACAGCAGGGAGAGGCCGCGGGCCCCACGTCAACGGCTCTGGAATACTGCTGGAAAAGCAGCTTCCCGGCGGCCGTAAGGAGGCTAAACGCGGATTGCAGATCGCCCTTTCTTTGCGCGCTCCTGGTGGGATGAACCCCATCTTCCTGAAACCCAGGCCAGCTCGCAGGGCCGCCCTTTCCGGTGGCTCTCCCTCCTGACCTGCCACCTTCCCCGCCAGGCTTCCCAGGACTCCAGGGCCCCCTGACTGAAGCGTGGGGCCGACCTCATCCACCATCCCGCCCATCCGCCCGCTCCCTCCGTTCGTGCGGCCGTCCCTGCGGGGACCGCACAGCGGGCTCTCACAAGGGGTGGCAGGAGCCAGAGGCGAGCCGCTGGCTCGCTCGCTCGCCCGTCCGACAGGTGGCAGCGGGCCAGCAGGCTGGCGGGCGGGGCCCAGGACAGGCGCCAGCACCAGCGCACACACCTGGGGGCGTGACCAGCCCAGGCTCCGGGGGCGTGGCTTGTGGGCGGGCGGGCGAGCGGGGAGCGGCGGGGGGGCCCCGGCGCGGCCGGGGCGGGGGGCGGCGGGCCGGGGGGTTGGGGGCGGTGCGGGGGGGGGGGGGGGCGGGCGGGTGGGGGCTGGGTGGTTTTG